ACCTATAGATACCGACCTCGGTGTCAAGCCGTCAGAACGTATACAGACTGGTATATTAAACTGGACCTACTAATTAAAAACATACCGTGAAAGCAAATACACTAGACACTAACTAAAGGGGTATATACTTGAATAAACCAATGCTAGATATTTCTTCTCTCCTAGTGGATAAGCCAATACATACTTCCCACATGTAGCTTGCGTATGTTGAAATTACTAGTGAAGTCGGCAAGGAATGGCGATCTTACATGCTCGGTAAGTAAGGTAGTTAGGAACCAACATCATACGTAAATTCTTAGGGTTGATACCTTAAATGGCGTTTTAAGATGTATGGTTAAAAACGAGGCTCCGAATATCAACCAACACCTAAGTCTGAAGAGTATATGGGAGAGGCAAGTCTTGACTACACATGTTTCCGTTATCTAATCCTTGTAGTATGGACTATTCTTCCTATATTCTTGTATTCTCATATTTTCCTCGACTAGTACCTATCTAATTTATCTATTGTCTAAAAGTGGTCGATAAAATCGATACTGCGAAGTTTGATAAACCGGCCCAATTCGGAGACATGAGTGATACGCAGATCAAGTACAACCTATCCGGATCTCCGCTTTTGCATCTTCCGTGCGAGCTGATTGTGCATACTGCGTCGTATCTTTCCTTGGACGACTTATTCAGCTTACGTTTGACGTGTCGTCGTGTCGAGACGTTCCTATTCGAAGCCTTCTCAGTCGAATTCTTTTCTGATAGGCGTTTTATGGTAAATGAATGGTTAGTACCTAGGAGTACCTTAAGATTCCGTGCAAATCTATGTACCTCCTTTGTTAAGCCTATCTGATACCCTCATTAACCATGTTGTAGTATGTGTTCCACGCCTACCCAACTCGACACGTAGTCTCTGGAGGAGATAATAGGGGGCTACGATCCTCTTTTCCCTTTGCGGCCCCCTATATAACCCGTTCTATATATTATTATGCACCTTGCTAATGGCCGTTGATATGCACAGACAGCCTGAGATGTTTATTGGATATATCGAAGCACTCTCATCTATCAAAGTGCTTGTCGAAGCTGACTATTGGGCTTGATCGACTATACAGCAGCGATGCCCTGCCAAGCTTTGGACATCGAAATGATAATGCTGGCAATCCCCGTGTAAAGAACGGAATCGAGCCTTATAAACTAGAGGAGCTTGCCGCAGAGCAGAACTGGCTAGTCAGTAGCGGACGGTTACAGCTGTTGCTTGGCGAAGCTCTGGAAAATTTAACAAATGTGGTAGAGCTTAGCTTGCGAGATGCCAATACCGCGAGAGGACATTTCCGGCCAGGGTTACAGCAGTGGCATGTCAGCTACGGGACTGCCGAAATCCGCCGACAGACAGGGGTAGATTTCCTTAGCGACGAGCCGCACCTTCATTCACAAGATCAGTTTGCCGACATGGTGTTCTCGGCTGCTCTGCTGGCTGTCGCGAGGAGCGGAAAGCGGCTGGACGCCATCAGCGTGGACATACAGAAAGAAGATATGGGATTATCTAGCTCAGCTTTTGTGTTCCCGAGGTCTCTTCTCGAATCCCTCAGGCCGACTTTACGAAGCCTGCGGTCTCTCAACCTCTCCGTGAGCTTCACTTACATATCGCTGGGAAGCTTTGCGTGCGGGTCTCTGGGTTTCCTGCAGTGGCAACCGCATTATTTGTTCTCGCTGCTTGAGGAGACACCTAACTTGGTCAGTCTTCGGGTGATCTCCAAGGGACAAAGCTTCCTTCTAGATGGGGTAATAGACTGGCTTGCTCGACTGATAGACTTGTCAACCGGGAAGCAAGTTGAGAAGGCCAAAGGGTCGCACATGTACGGTGATTTGTCTGCAAGCTTCGATCGCATAACGCTTTCCCAAACATTCCACAATTTGCGGGATCTGGAGTTAGGGAATATGACGGCACCAAGTGATTCCCTTTCCAAGATTATTCAGCACCTCGCTGGTTCTCTACGGAAGCTATGCTTATGCATGATAGGGATAACCGTTTCCCCGGGCGACGATGAACTCGATAATGACCCTGGGTGTGCTAACGCCTGGACGTCAATATTCCGAGAGATGTCTACATATTCCGGCTTGGAGGACCTGCAGTTTGGACTCTTAGGCCACCACACCATGAACTGTACGGTGAATCATCAAGTCGTCTTCTTGAGATCAGAAATTGGTACACAGTCGGGCCCGTCTGATGGATTATTCAACTCTTGGTCATACTCGGGCAGCGGTACATCCATGAAAGATTTCTTGCTAGAGCTCTCAGAAAAGACAATTATCATCTGTACCAGGTGTAAACAGAGAAACCCGGGATATAATTCATTTGAAGAAGACCCCGAGGGGTAATTGAGGACAAGATGACTCGATTAGTTCTTAAGATGACATAGATGTCAACTCTAATTCATCCAAGATCTAAGCTCGATTAAACCTCGAACAAGGGTAGATCAACTCCTATTAGCCTATCAATAGCACTAGTTCGTATTGGCGTAGGTGCATAATGTCTCAACTGGCTCGGTCATAACGTACATCATGCTTCTTCTTCTACACGTAGGAGGTAACGATAAGGTTATTCTAGCCTTAGTATAAAACGACACCGCTTATTGTAATGTTAAATACTCAAGATGCTCCAAGGGGAAAGGGAAAAGGGAAAAGGGGGGGGAATTTGGTCAACAAATGCTCTTATCAGTTGACAAAGAGAGCATACATGGAATGTCGTGCGACACCCTCAAGCAATTACGCTTATCTTTCTCAACAGGACATATCGCTGATATCGACGGCCTGGTTACAACGCCTCACTGCAGATCGGCAGGGGTTCAGATAACTGCTTTTCCAATTTTTAGTTCTGGGACGTGAATGGCTGCCAATCCAACGGAATCCCGCGCTTCTCCTCGGTGTGCTCGGTACCAGGAGTGCGTCAGTGTACGTGCGGGGGGATAAGCATGAGACTTTATTTGTTGTGTTATTATATTTCCGTGTTATAAGTGCATATTTAAAGGTGAGCCCTCCAAACTTACACCCGTCTATCTACTATTTTATTCACTTTCTCGGGGACTTGAAAGCCACCTAGGTACCTAAGATAGGTCATTCTAACTGGTATCGGCTTTACTGGTATTGACATTGCGGCAAACCCGACGAGCCCAAGATGGCTCCATCGGTGGCTTCAAACCCCGGAGATTTCGATGAGTCGCTTGTCCCCGGGACGGTCCATCTAGTCGATCTTGAGCACACGATGGCAACGCGACATGCTAAGGACCAGAGGGATATTGTGCTCGTGCCGACCCCGTCCGCAGATCCCAATGACCCGTTGAACTGGGCTCCCCGACGCAAGTACCTGGCCTTAACTTGCGCTCTCCTGTATACCTGGTTTAATGGCATGGCACTGTCAGTCGTCTATTCGGTACTCGTGCCTCTCTCCACGGCCCTATCCGTAAGCGAGGGGGACCTCAATGCTGGAACAGGCTATATGTTCTTACTCTTAGGCTGGGGCCTGCTCTTTTGGCAGCCATTTGCGCTGCAGTTTGGAAAGCGGCTGACGTACTTGGTCTCTCTCCTCGCGCTCACGGCCGTCACGGTTTGGGGGCCTTATGCGCGCGGCAATAGCCAGTGGATCGCGAATCGCGTTCTAACGGGCTTCTTTGCAGCCCCTATCGAGGCTTTGCCTGAAACCAGCATTGCGGATCTCTTTTTCGCCCACGAGAGAGGAACGTATCTGGGTTGGTACGCATTCATGTTGGCTGGCAGTAACTTTTTCGCCCCTGTCATTTGTGGCTTCATCAACGACGGGGTTGGCTATCGGTGGGTTTTTTACTTCCAGGCCATCTTTTGCGGCGCCACGTGGCTATTTTTATTCTTCTTTATGGAAGAAACGAATTACGACCGACCTACTATTGGCGTCGTCGCCGAGTCTAGTCATGGAGTACTCGAGCCGAACCCAGATGATGAGAAGGGCAAGGAGGCCTCGATGGATCCGTCCGATACCATTAGGCGAGTTGTTTCTCCAGAAGGCCAGCCGTCAGCTAAGACGAAGACGTTCTGGCAAAGATTGTCCATCGTGGATCAGCCGCGGCCGTTCATGATGCACTACCGTGCGTGGCAGTCTCTCAAACTCTTGTCGTGGCCTGTGGTGTTTTATTCGGGGTTTAGCTACGGCACGTACCTCATATACTTTAATATTCTCAACGCTACGAGCTCTATCATCCTAGGCGGCCCACCTTATAATTTTCGCCCGTCCCTTGTAGGTCTGAGTTATCTTTCCTGTATGGTAGGAGTTACCGCCGCCGCGGCTTTTACAGGTGTATTTTCGGATCGCTTCGTCATTCGATTAGCGCGTAGAAACAATGGCGTCTCGGAGCCTGAGCACCGACTCTGGCTTTTCTCCGTTTCGACGCTGATAATCCCGTCTTCACTTATCCTCTGGGGTGTCGGGGCCGCCCACCAGGTGCACTGGTTCGGTCTTATTGTCGCCATGTGTACTACAGCGTTCGCCAACACGATGGGCATTACTCTCAGCGTTTCGTACTTGATCGATACGTATCGAGATATTTCGGGCGATGCGCTAACTACGTGTATTCTCATTCGTAACACGATGAGTTTCGCTATCGGGTATGGAATCACGCCCTGGCTCGACAACCTAGGATACCAGAATTGTTTCATCAGCGTCGCTTTCATCGGATTAGCTATCTGCTCTGTCTTCCTAGTGATGATCAAGTGGGGTAAGAAGTTTAGAGAAGCGAAACGCCTCGACTATTGGCGCGAGGTTAAGAAGAGAGTCGATCTTGGACTAGTTCACTAATAGATTCCCACCAAGAGCTTCATGTTCTAAATATCAAAGTATATTATTTATTTCTCAGGTACCTGAACTACCCAGAGCTACTATCTGATACTAAGTACTGTATCAAAGCGCCATTTCTTCTTACTGAGTTCACTACTGCTACCGCGAATCTTCTTGATAGCCCAGAGGTAACTAGCTTCCTTGGTTTCGGTGCTGTTAGAACATAGATGATAATGTTTGTATTACGGAACAGACTAGACTTTATAAGAGGCGTTGGTCGTCATAAGACATTCCATATTCCTCCTATCACTCTCTAGGTTGTGTATTTGTTTTCTCAGCATCACATTAGGGTTAAACACCTAAGGTACTCGTCCTTCCAAGAACCATCTTAGGAGACAACCCTACGACTAATTCCTCTCATAATATTCCGTAATAACTATTCAAAGTGCTGCATTATGTACAAGTAGGAGTATGAACTTTGCAGTCCGAAGACGCTTCGTCATACATGCTACATTGGTATCGTCGATCTATCGCAATCTTGACTGACAGGCTATCCTGTCCCACCACGCAGAACGATGGTCAAAACATTAGAAAAGAGCGAAACAGAAGCGCTAGCATGATCCATTCAGTTCGCTTACGTATGTACTCGTTGCAAATAAAGTCCCTCGCTCGTAGCCCACATAAACCTTAGTATCTACTTCATTACAAATCGATTTCCTCAGTCACATCTCCAGTCACATTTTCAATCACAGCTTCGGTTGCAGCTTCAGTTGCAGCTTCAGTTGCAGTTGCAGCTTCGGCCACAGTTTCGGCCACGGCTTCGGCCACCATTGGCTCCTCTAATTCCGATGACACGACCGCCGTTGGCTCATCTGACTCCGATGACACGACTGGGGTTGGGTCTTCAAGGGGAACATCATCCGCAGCAACGGATGGTGTAGCCTCGGCTGGAACTTCAGTGGCAGACATCTTGACAGTTTCGGTCGCCGTCTCCAGCTCCGTCTCCGTCTCCGTGACTGTGTGGAAGACTCGAACCACTTTCTTCTCCGTCACAGTTTCAGTCTGCTCTGACTGAAATGCCATGCGTATAAACTGGTCGTAGATGCCTGCAAATGTGCTGCACGGCTCATAGACGGTGGATATGCTTGTCGCGGCTGCTGTACTGTCCTGGGCTGTCGTGGGCTCTACTGCAACTTCTAAAGTTTCTTCGGAAATCGCTGAGGCTGGTTCGGCTTCGCCCTGGGTTGTCTCTTGCTGAGGCTCTTCGGTCACGGACTCCTCTTGGTAATCCACAGGAGCCGCTGTAGGCTCGCTAGCGGGTATATCCTGCTCTAATACGGCATCCAGGTCGCCTTGGTAGTCCGTCTCAGCCACTGTAGGCTCCTGAGAAATGATAGGTTTCACTTCGGATTCGGATTGCTCCTCTTCTATAGAAGATGTCTCTATAAGGGACTCAGCAACCGGTTCATCTTGGTGCTGAACTGTTCCCAGTGGCTCTTGGTCGGGTACGATTCCCACAAGATCGGCCAATGGCGCATGTTGTTGAGGCGTCGTGGAAGGCTCACCGCAAATTGACGGCACGGCTAACGGTTCTATAGTCGGAAAGTTTACCTGGACGGCAGGAACCTGAGGTATATCGACGACCTGGGCACGACGCGCGATTGGGACGTCTCTCATCCGGTGGATCACTGGCTCGTAGACGGGCTCAGCCGGAGTGGGAGCGTTCCGAAAGGCAAGCATAAGCACAAAAATGCTGAGAGTGAAGATGGCAACATTCCTGCGGTCTTCCAGTAAAACCCTCATAGACTGAAGTAGAAGCTCAGGGAGCGACGCGTTCTGGTAGGCAGCCTGATGAGATTTCTCTTGTTTATATGTCTTATCGGAGGGAGGCGACGGCGGCACATGTGACCTTTTGTCCTGGCCCGGATGAACTGACGGCTCTCGAGATTGTGGTGCTGGCGAATGCCCATAGATCTCGCGAAGCCGTTCTTCATCTCGCCGGAGTCGCTCCTCCGCAGAAATAGGTGTACCGACACGCGACAGCTCTGGCTGGGGTGAGGAGGTCCCGAATTGGGAGCCCATATCGGCCCGGCCCCTCTGATGCTGCGTAGCGTCCTTTTCAGTCGCCGCCTCTGGGTGAGTCGCGGCGAGATGAACTAACTCCTCTTGCAAAGCGGGCCCTACGATGGGTTCTAGTTCGACATCTACACGCTCCATTTCTTTCCAGCAAGCTTCCCAGGCGCCAGCCCTCATTAACCCATTGCTGGCGTAGACCTTAACCCGAAAGATCTTGTCTGAGCCGAGAGAGTCGCCGCGGATCTCGCTCTTGCAAGTATCACACCAGTGCCGCTTATCCCCAACACGAGATCGTTGGGAACTCCACTCATCTTCGCTCTCTTCATCTTCGGTCAGGGTTGATTCATTGGCGGGGCCGAGGTAATGACCGCATTCCAAGATCCGAGCTCGTCGGCGGAAGGGCAACTCTAGCGCTTCGAGCAGGCGCTCCTCGAGAACCTCATAGTCATTCTGAGGATGGCCTAGTAGTATACCTCTCTCGATGACGGTGTCACCAATTCGGTCTTGCAGGAGCCTCCAAGATTCTCGGAGAGTCTTCACCTGCTCGCTCACATCATCCGTATCGAGATTGTTGAGTAGATTGCCCCATGCCCACCTTAGTGGTAGCAATGTGACATGGAGTAGGACGAGAGGCGCCTCCCTGCGTTCCTTAAAACGCGGTGGAGTAGACATCCTCTTCGGGGAATACTGCGCGGAGGCTGTAGGCGTCCCCAAGCGAGAAACGGTAGGGAATTGCTTCTTTGTGGACCGAGGAGAGCCCAGGACCGAAGATGGCGATGAGGACATATGCATGGCTCGCACATCTGAAGGGGTCCGAAACGGTGGGCGCGGTGTTCCTCTAACGGTAGGAACGAAATCTCCCTTCTCATATTCCCGATCGTGTTGTGAAATATCCGAAACTGGCGGTGACCGAGTCGCAGTTGTCATATTGTCAAAGTCCTTGTGTGCCTTATCGGACTCAGAAACGGCATCGTACGACCCTAGAGAGCTTCGTGGACTCTTATCACTAAACACATCCTCGTCCGTGGCTTCGTGATGAGAACTAGTATCACCGCCATCATCGGCATGGATGTGAGAGTCTGCATACTCGGGGTCTCCAAGATATGAATCATCTGCTTGGGCTGGATCATGGGTGTCGTCGTCATCTGTCTGGTCGCTCAATACTGAACCTTCTCCCACATCCTCATGCTTATCCTCATTTTCATATTCTCCCTGTTCAGATCCTTCGTCCCTGTCAAGATATTCGTCATCCATCTCGCTGTGGTCGGTCTCTACGCTGGGTCGGACTTCCGATTCTCTGTTATTACTAGTCATCTTCGTCCCATCCCCTGCCTCTTTAATGGTAATAGACTCCTCGTGCTGGTCAGAAGTGTTTTGTTTGTTTGTTGGTTGGTTGCTTTTAGTTCTTGAGGATGCTCCTCATTTATCGGTGTACTCAGGCAAGACGGGTCGACGTAAATCTCAAAGTTGTGATTTGTTTTCTTTTTGTCGAGGTATTCGAAGTGAGAAATAATGAGGAATAGCACCTGAGGTTCTTAATTAAAGGATGTGCCCTTTGGAACCCCTGGGTCCTTTGAGTTTGTTTTGATGTGTGCGTTGCGTTGGCAGTATATTAGACCTGCAGGTCTAAATGTCAAAATGAATGAAATGGTTGGGCCAGATCGAAAAGAATGCGGGTCGCTAAGTTGTCAGTTCCTATGTTGTTTACATGCGTTGCCCGGTCAACGCCAACCACTCAATCCTGGTAATCCATTTCCTTGTCCAATGATGGATTAGATCACAATCTAGCACACATAATTTTCAATCAAGGGAACATTATCGATCATTAGAATGTGATCATAGAAAGGGATACGAGACTCTTATAGTTGAGTAGGAGTGTATTAGAAAATGTTTACCTCAAGTGTAAATCCAACTCGTCACTTTGCGACAGCCGGCATTGACGTCATTAGTTGTATACAAGATACAACACTTCGCCGTTTACAAGCAACGTTTTTTTTTTTTTTTTTTTTGCAATCAAGCCCTGGTTATCTAAATACCAAGAAGTAGTATCCACCCCATCCTATTCATATGTAATCGAAGTTATAATAGTAGCTAATGTCACTGTAACTAGATGAAAGCTGCGATGTTTGCAATGTAAGAACAAGATGGAGTCTCTAATACCTATAAGATGCCCTAAAGGACGTGTTTACGGAATAAGCAAGGGTCGACATGGCTTTCAGGTCTTGCAATAACTTGCTACAAATCAGATAGATACCTTTTTTCTTGCCATTATGGCAATAAAAGCTATCATTACTGGGTCGCCTTTAGGACGGCTTAATTATGTATTGAGCTAACTATATCTTCTACACAAGATCGTGGGTTAGCCCTTTAGTATAGTCTTAATGCTGTATCTGAGTGACTCAAGGCTAATCAATTGCATTACTACAAGTGTTAAATCCACGCTGGAAGAGACCAGGACCGCACGGAACAGAATTCTACCTACTGAACTTACGATTAAAGAGAAGACTAAAAGTATTTTTAGAGAGTTCATGGTAACAAGAGCATAGGTAGTAATCAATTACAGGGACTGAACTGCGAAGTGAGAGCTTCTCTAGTTAAAGGGAATAAAGAATGAATATAGTAGACCATGCTTGAAGTGCGTTGCCTTAGGTAGCTTGGTGGAAGGCAACCGAAGAGCTTACACGAGTGAACTACCGGGGTATAAATAGGGAAACTAATACACATATGGGTGGGAGACTCTCTAGCATCCATTTAACAGGTTGGTACCAAGTATATTCCAAGTACAATATGTGACGCTTCGAGCATTGACTAGGTACTCTTCTTCAGATCCTCTACCTACTCCATTTGTCGGCTACGTTCTTTATCTCGGCCAGCAGCTTCTCCTTTCTCTCCTCGGTACACCAGCTACCTAATACGGCGCCATTCGCAATGGCCTCCCAGTCCCTTATGCTCAAGTCGAATGCGTCCTGCAGGGCACAGTAATTCTCGAGTATGTATCCCCCAAAATAAGCCGGATCGTCACTGTTAATACTAAACCTAATACCGGCATTTATCAGTCTTCTAAGAGGAAACGAGTCTATCGAATCGATGCAGTTTAACCTAACATTCGACAGAGGGCACAGGGTTAGCAGGGTCTTAGAGGAGGCAAGACGCGCAATCAATGCGTCGTCACCCTCCGTCAAGGCACGGACGCCATGGTCTATACGTTCTACATCTAGTATGTCGAGGGCTTGAGTGACGTAAGGTGGCGGGCCCTCCTCCCCAGCATGGATTGTCCTTCGGATGCCTGATTCTTTCGCGACATCGTAAAGATTCTTCCATAGGGGTGGTGGAAACGGTGCCTCAGAAGAGTCCATGCCCACAGCAGCGAGTGTACCGTTGGCATAATATCCTCCGTCTCTCGCTTGCAAAAACGTATCCATAGCTTCGGAAAGGGGTAGATGCCGTAGCAGACACATAATCAGCTGTGTAGTCATGCCGAAGTCAACCGCTGCTCTCCCTTGAGCTCGACTAAAACTCTCTATGATTATGGAGAGCTCGACGCCTCGGCTTGCGTGAGCTTGCGGGTCGAAGAAAACTTCGGCGTGACGGACATTTTGGGATGCGGCTTTGGTAAAGTAGGCGTACGCCAGAGTCTCAAAGTCGGCCTCATCTACTAGGACTGACATGCCGATATAGTAGTAGCTAAGGAAATCGTCCAGGTTCTGAAAGTTCTCGTAGCGTTTGCGGAGACATTCTGGAGAGGCAAAGGCTGGATCGGAGGAGGGGAGAGTTATATCATTCTTTGCTGCTAATTCAAACAGGAGTTCCGGCTCGAGGGAACCCTCAAGATGCATATGGTGCTCGACTTTGGGCAGAGCCTCAAGGAACGAATGTAGCGACGTATTGCACATATTTTACGGGACATAAAGAAATATACTATTTGGAAGGATTAGGGATGTCCTCCTTTGTAGACTGCTTTGGGATTTAAGAGACTGTCCGGACTGCGTGGTTTATGTGAGAAACCCTAGAAAATTCCTAATATCCTTAGTTCGATAAAAACATGACCTATAATATATTACCCAGGCAGTATAATACTCAGCGTAGTGCCTATGGCACAAGCAAGCAGCGGCAAGCCGAAACTAGGCTAGGTACCTGGATAGCTGTCGGCGCATTACGATAAAAATGTAGTACTGAGGAAGCGCCCACCTTTAAGGATGACGGTGGCTTGAAATAGGCTATCAACTCAGCAAGTACAAACGAGTATAAGTGTTACAATACCGAGAAAAGACCCGTCTGGCTAAGCCCCGGCAGGCAAGAAGAAAATGCTGAATGCTTATGTCGATAAATACATGACTACCTCTTACCTGCGCCGTCGATCAGGACGAAGTAAAACTGGATCCTCACCGGGACGCGCTAGAAAATCGCAGCAAACCGCGATGACAAGCAGGAGATCAGCGGTTATAAATTACCTCTTATAATAACACGGCTATGCACGCGCTGCCGTTTTCGGCTTCTGGACTTTGGATCTCAGCTGCAATTTCTAGGATGGCCCTGGCTTGGTGATAGCGACTTATAAGCATCTATTCGGTCGTTGCTGCAAGGGGAACGCTGGCTATTGGGCTCGCGTCATGTACTGGAAGTGCTGCTATACTGGGGATCCCGAACTCCGTTACGCATTGCGCATTTCCGACCCGTTTGAAGGCTTTCCGGACCCCCTCTTCCTCACACCCGGCATCGCGGGCTTGCTTATCTTGCAACAACGACCAGACCAATTACGGTAGGTTAGACACAGACACGTAGTGAAAGGAGCCACCGAATCTACTCAAGGGCGGAAGCAAGCGAAGGGAGACGCGGTGCCAAGGTTCCTCTACATACAGTAGCTCCCATAGCCATTGAACGATCTGGAAACCTGCCCATTCGATCAGTCAATACGGACAGGAGTGGCTTCGGAACCAAGTACGTTGTCGGCGTTCGTATGTAGGTAAGTACATGTTATTAAAATATCCGACGAAGGCGTTACTGCTACGAGGGCTGTAACGAATCGGTTTTCTCCAAGATGCCACGGGAAATCCTAAAATAGAAGTACGATACGCTCGCTCTTCTAAGCGGCGGTGAGTATTTGTATTTAATTCTCTCTCTCTTATCGTCAGCCCATGTCAGATGTGGCGCACATACTCCCCGTTTGATGGGCGAGAGGGATTCTCTTGCGAGAACGCATCAAAAACCAACCTCGAAGAACTTTCCCCCTTTTCCTTAACTACCCAATGTTTCTGATGGACTAGGTAAGTATCTGTATCGAGATCCGTATCCCGGGCGCCATGAAAAGAAAAAGAAAGTAAACCTCGTGGCACGCCTACGCCGCTCGCCTACTTGTGCATATCAAAGCGGTCCTCCCGAGCAGAATCCTGGCGCACGTGCGTTCCTCAGCCGCAATAAAGTCGCAGAAAGTGAAGAAAAGGGAAAAGAAAAACCAAATAAACGCAACAGGAAATATGCGGGTCGAATCCTATAGCTACGATTATTCCTTTCCTTTCCATTTTTCCAAGTTCCCGAATCTGTAGAGTTACAAACGCTAGGTAGGTAGGTAGGTAGTTAGAGGGTTTTCTATTTTACTATGTAGGTACTTACCTGCGGCAAGGCAAGTAATCCGATCCAATAGTCTTAGGTAGGTTGGTCACCTCAGTTTTGTAGCTGAGCCCAGGGACGCCCTAAATCGGAGTCTCTAGCTCTGGAGACTAGAGAGAGAGAGCGAGAAAAGAGAAAGGCGATACTGTTGAATAGTTGGTCGTTGTGATGGTAATACAAGGTCGTTCGTTTCACTGCATGTCATGTCTTGGTCTGTACTACTTCCATCTCCGAGACCATATGTCGTCTCGCGTAGCTTGCACGCATGGGGCGAACGGCCTTGGTATCACTTCGACGCATGCACTTGTGAAAGCATCTAGCTCGGTTGCGTACAGCGCCAATTGGTGGGCAGGTCGAAGTCCACTTTCGAGGCGCTTTTCTCTTTTCTCTCTCTCGCTCTCTCGCTCTCTTTCTTTCTCTCTCTCTCGGTGTAAATTACCTCCTTTCTCTCCAGGCCGTGCCGGTGCGGGGGTGAGTCATTTGAAGTGCCGCGGTGGTATTTAATTCTCTTGGCTGGCCTGGTGATGATTCAGGGTTCTCGTCTTGCTCTCCCTAGACGGGTGTTCACCTTCTTTTTGATACCATACATAGTACATAGTATATAGGTATGGTATGCACACGCTCTCCTGGAGGGGGACGAGGATCTCCGTCTAGGTCTTTATGCTTGCGTGCTAGTTTAGTGTATTAGACTTGTGATGCGTTGCACGAGAGACATGTTTTCCACGTCGCACGGGATGGGATGCTACTTCAGGAAACGGTCAGAGGAGGGATTCTAGCCCCCCCGCCCGTGGACACTCCACCACGTAGGAGCGCAGCGGCAGGGTAACGACGAATCGGGGTAACGACAGGAGACAAAGTAGGCAAAGTAGACAAAGATTCCATTGGGGATGAAGTCGTACGCGAGGGCTATTGTACGCATACGCATTGTGCATGTATAATGATCAGTAGGCAACCCAGGAGACGCGTCCGCTGCCGACCTATCGCTACAGCAGTACTTAGACCCCTTGAATCTCCCACGGGAGCCTCAGGTATCGAAAGAGGCAACGTCCGTGTTTCGAGTGAGTGCGGAGCCGATCTTGTCGTGGATTT